TATATATATATATATGCAAATGAAAACTAATAATTCGATTGGTAGCAAACTTTCAAGAATATTTTTTAAGCTTTCGTTTCCGAAATTTGCTTTTTTGCTTGATCTCTCATTTTTTCAAAATGAACAAACATGCAAATTGAGTTAGTGTTGCTAATTAGAGCATTATACAAACTTGCGAATTCCTCTCCACCTCCTGCTTAGCATTTTGCATTCATGAAATTGAAAGGATTCTTACCATTCATTCACTGATAATTTTTCTAATGATTTGATGACATGGAAAAATTTTAGTGTTTTCAAACTGAAAGAAAAGGATTACAAATGTAATAGTATCTTTTTCAATTCATCAGTACAACTTTTTAAAATCATTTCTGACTTTTTCCGCTTAAATTCCTCTCAAAAAGTATCAGCAGTAGCAATCTCAATGGCAATAGCAATAGCAGTAAAGAAGGATGTAGTAGCTACCATAAAATTACTTTTGCATGAAATTTCACTTCAATTTTTAGTAAACGAATACCATTTGCTACTCTTTTTATTTTCAAAAATAAATTCATTCATAATTCCTTCGTATTTTCTCATTACTGCACAAAAGACTACGAAAAAGCGATTCCAGCATAATTAATTCAAAGTTCAAACTAAACTACTCATAGCGTAGCAATTGAAAATTTGCAGTATTCAATTTTACTCTTAGAACTAATCTTTTCAACAAAGAAAATGCTTGTTTTTATCACAATACGCATTCAACTGTAAATTTTTTATTCTCAAACAATTTTCAGCATTAGTTTTGAAATTGTCTTTACCAATTTCCTCAACTTTTTAAAATTTTTTTGAAAAGTTCTCGTTAAATGCTGTCAAATTCTTTCTGTCTATCATTATTCATGTGTTTTTGCTTAGACTATGTCAAATTACAAATATAATTCATGTATTATTCTTGCATAAATCTTGCATTTGATCCATAGTCACGTTTTGATAATGTTTCATGCAACGTTATCTTTCTAAATGTTTTATCAATACAAATTTGTATAGTAAACAATCACTGCAATGTGATAATTTTGATCACATACTATTCTGAATATTAATTACTTGAGTTATATAACTTTTATTCCTTCTGATTATTATCATATACGAAAGCAACAAATATCCTTCACAACTATTTATATATATTTGTAGCTGCTTAAGAATTATATTATTGGCTGCTTTCATGTCACACTTCCGTTTCTTACATCTATTTACTGAGAAAAAGTGTCTTTAAGTTTTAAACTTTCAATGCTGTTTTAGTTTATCTTAATTATGATTCTGCATCAAAAAGTACGTAAGAACTGCTCATTCAGATAGGTATTAAATGTTCTTAAACTAACTAACTGCTAAAAAAATGTTCGAGAATTTTTTTTCAAAAAAAATCGCATGTATTTAGGTTCTGAAAAATTTTTATCATACTTTATTAAGCGTATCAAAATTTTATATCCATTTCATAGAATAAATATTTCAATAATGAATATAATTCTAGAATATGTGAAAAGAAAAGATCATGAAGTAGCTTTTTTATAGTGTGTAATTATGATAAAGTAAAATGTTGGGGAAAATGAATGCCTTACTGACCTATTACTTTCTCACAAGTTTTTTTTGTTTTCTGGAATACAAAGAGTCAAGTTGAAATAAGTTTGCTGGTTTGCCTGCTAATGCTAGGATAAAGTACTATTGAAGTAGAATCTAAATTAGTCATTTACAAGCATATTTTATTCAAGAAAAGAATGGATATTATGGCTAAAAATGAAAAATTTATTTTTACACACTAAATTCTACTTTTATTTTTCTTAATACTGACTATATTTGCGAGGAATGATTTCATTTTTTTCTTTTTGAATATTTTCTGAATTTTTTAGATTTGCAGTTTAGCAAAATAATTAAGCAGTTAATAAGTCAAGTGAAGTTTGCAAATTAAAGCTGTTAACCTAATAATTTTAGTAAGTTTAGTGCGGCGATGAAAGTAATTTTTTGGCTTCATTTTATGATAAAATGGTAAGCCACTTCTTAGTCTTTCTCTTTCTAATCATTATTCATAATTGAAATATGGAAAAAAAAAAGTCTTTTTATAAAATTTATTTGTCAGACTACAAATAAATGTATTGAAAAGAAACTTCTGAGTGTTTCCCATGATTTTGATAGAGTTATAAAATGCTTGAACAATCTGAAAAGAAGTTTTTACTTTTTACGAGATAGTTTTAACAAAAGTAAAATCAGTGTGTGAAAATAACTTTTCATTTTTATAAATCTTTAAAATGACAAAGTCTTTTCACTGTTTTATTTTCGGCACAAACTTGAAACATCCGTCCGAACCAATTTTTTTAAACGTGCATTTTCGTTTGCTACTTCAAATGGTTTGTTTACTTGTTCAAGACTTTTCAGTATGAAAATAATTGAAGAAATGAGCAAGAAATCAATTGGGTAATGATCAAATTATAAATTGTTCAAGAAGCAACTCAATAACAAGCGTTGTGTAAACGAGTGACTATCAGCTTATCTGCGTCTATAAAATTCTTAAGCAAACAGTAATAGTGATAACAATAATAATAATAACAATAATAAATAATATATTAATAACAGTAATGGTAATAATAACAGTAATTATAGTAGTAACAGTAGTACTTGTAAGGTTATCATGTAAATAATATTATAATCATATTAATGATGATAATAGTAGTAGTAATATCAGTGTAGGAGAGACCTTTGTTAACATATCTGATTACATGGCATTAGTGAGAACGTTGGATATTTCGACAACAACTACTCACCTAAGCTTCAACTGTGCATCGTGCCTCAGTTTTGATTCCAAGAGCGATGCTTGTTGCAGTAATCAGGCAAACTGGATCAATTTTCAAATGTTATCTTCAACTTTGATACCAGCGAGAATCTTCTTGCTTCTGCATATCTTTACAACGTCATGTGCCAATGTAATTTCCGGTAAGCAAACTAGCGACCATTGCTCCATCATTCATTGCTAGCTCATTCAATCGCTATACAATAGAATTCTTTTGACAGTGTTTGAATGTGAAAGCAAAGCTTGAGCAAAAAACATAGTCCCGACCTACAATAGTATTTAATTTGTAGCCAATAAGCCTAACTTCTGTAAAGCTAATCCTCGATTAAAAATGAAGTAAAAGTCTGCTCATACTTGCTTAATCTGTATGGAATTTTTATCCTTTTTAAGTGGTGCATATAGTGCTTAAATACTGTAGAAATGAAATTCATTACTTCATTGTACACTTTATTAGTTTTCAGTACTTAACAAAAGTTTTGTGTGTGTACTAAGAGCCTACTTAAGTACTTAAAATTACAGGTTATATACGCCAGAATCGATGCTATTCATGCATGTCGCCTTTATACGAAGAATTATTTAAAGATGGTATCATGTCAAGGTAATTGTCATATTTTGTGCTGCTTCACTTTCAAAACAAAAAATCATTACTGTTAGGCAGTAGTGTGTCGTATTCACTACATGTCATCAACGTAAATGTCAAATATGATTGACTTCATTATGTTTTTCGACTTGCAATCAGCATACCGTTGAGGATTAACTTATAGCCTCACGCCCTAATAAAGTCAAAGTTTGACATTTAAAGTTTTTTTCGTGACTACTATAATTTACTCAAATCAGACTTCTGTAATACATAGTGAAGTTTCCTTGGAAACAGCAACCACTTCTGAATAAATTTCTCCATCTACAGATATTTTTATGAACCAAGGAACTTTACTACGCAGTGTAACGACCCCATGCAGTCAGCAAATATTGGACTCGTACCATGCAAATCAATTTGTCTTACGCTTACTCAGGATTTTATTGTGATGGGTATGCTTGTAAAAATATTTTTGTCTCACTAATTTAAGAGCATGAGAAAATGGAAAATACTAACGAAATATCCAGACTTCTCATAACTCAGAACAAGACAAGACAAATTAAACAAGCCTCATGTTACGAGAATATATTCTGTACAAAAAATCAGCGACCTGCGACTCATGTAGGATTATCGTTTCAGGACGTAATACAGGCAAAAAATTAACAATACGCGGCTGCGCCGTTTCTATTAGCCGACATGGTTTTTTTAACAGGACAATGATATTATTTGATCGGTAATTTAATTTTAAATTTCAGTATTACCAATGTTGAATTTAACTCTGACTAAAAACAAGAAATCATAGCAATACAGAAAAATTAGAAAGTACTTCTAAACTTCTCTAAACTGACATTTTTTTAAGAATTCTAAACAGTTCCAAAATATATAAATCTCAAGCACTTCAATTCTCTTTAGATATGACATGTGCCGTGACGTAAAAGCATCCGATTTGTTCAGATACGAATCTGACTCGCAAACAGTGCGGGTATGTTCATGTCTCGGTGATCGCTGTAACGCTGGTGCTAGTTCTTCTGGAGTAGTGAAGCAATTTGTTGCCACGATCATTCCCATTGTCCTTCTCATCATTTGTCATTTGCAAATTTTTTGAATACTGTTTTTTTTATTTCCGTATCAAGTATATGGGAATTTCTTTCATCTTTTTAATAAAAAAACTTTTGAAACTGTATGCATCAAAAGTTTATAAGGAAAATTAGGAAAAGAAGATGATATGATTGAATCACACGATGTTTGATACTTAATAAGAAAAGTAACAAGTTGGAACGAGATGTCGAAAACAGTTCCGTAATAGTTCAAAAGAAAGTAGAAACTGGTAGTATACTGAAGGGTTTACAATAGAATGACAAGTTCCTAATTTGAGAGTAAATTAAAATTGTATAGTAATAAATTAACATTTCTCAGAATGATGAATCAAACGTGTACAATGATTGAACTGCTTTGACAAAAGTTTGAATAAAAAATTAAAGTATTGAACTGAAGCGCATTTCACATTCCAAAATTATGTACTGCATACAAGAATATTGCGAACAACTGAGAACTTCGAACGAATGAAATGTACTCAAATACAAACATCACGCAAGTGAACAACTGAGCACTGTGATAATAGATCACAAGAATTTTACAAGAACTGAACTGAGCCAATAAATACCGCATCTCCGTAATGGTTCAAAAGAAAATAAAAACTGAGAGTATATTGAAGGGTTTACAAGAATGTCAAGTTTTTAATTTGTTTTTAATTTGAGAATAAGTTAAAATTGTATAGTAATAATTGAACATTTCTCCGAATGATGAATCAAACGTGTACAATAATTGAGCTACTTTGACAAAAGTTTAAATGAAAAATTGAAGTTTCGAACTGAAACACATCTCACATACCAAAATTATGTACTGCATACAAGAATAATATTGGAAACAACTGAGAACTTCGAACGAATGAAATGTACTCAAATACAAACATCACGCAAGTGAACAACTGAGCACTGTGATAATAGATCAGAAGAATTTTACAAGAACTGAACTGAGCCAATAAATACCGCATTTAGCATACAAAAATAACACCAACATTTGTGCAAATGGAGATGAGAGAGCGCTTCATGAACAGAGAACACGACTACAGCGTCGTCGTTTATCTCATGAAATCCTTTCAGCAATAAAGTGTACTCAAAATTTGTATTTTTTGGGTCGCTTAAACAGAATATAATAAGTAAATGAATTATTCAGCAATGAGTTTATTAAAACGTTTTTGACTGATTATAAAAGAACAACATAATAATGCACAAGTGAAACTGAAAACTAAATTTTAATTTTTGGAAACTTACAATCTAGAAAGAAACCTGATCTTTAGGTAAATGGCCAATATCACCAAGAGACTTCACAGAAACAATACCATCAGGATACACAACTAGCCACGTTAAAGAACAGTGTCCAAGTGCTATTCTTAACCAACCTTCAGGAGGAAACTGCAGAGCTCTACAATGTAATTAAGCTAAAAAATTGTGACTTATTAAATATTGATATCATTAATAACTGAATTCTGCGTAGACGAAAGTGCAAAAAAATTGCCATACTAGCTGCATTTTTCATTCAAAGTGTCTCATCACTGCATAAAAAATGACTCACACGATAAAATATTACACGAATTCATGATAGCAAGTAAGGAAACCTATTTCCTTGTTTACACAATGACTAAAATCCATCAATTTATATTTTATTGAAAAATAACAAATAAAATTCAAGAGTTACAAGAACAGAGAAGCTTTGTTGACAGACCTGCACACAAAATACCGTATTACGTTCGCGTGACATACAATTAACTCCCAGCTGTCCTTTGTTTGTTGTTCACTGGCACGATGTATGTATTTCCGAAAAGCTGCTTCAATGCGCGACCCTTCCGTTGCAAAATTCAAACAAAGAAAATTATTTAAACAAAAAAAAACGAATTGTTAGTGAAGGTTTGATTAACTTCTTTGCAATTTTATCGTTCAATTAACGCATTCATAAATGTGCACAAATTTTATAAGCTCTAAACATTAAAAAAAGAGAGTTCTGTAAGTAAACGAATCAGCTACATTATAAATTTATTTCTCCAAACAAAACATCATAAACTAGGATAATAAGGGACGATTTTCGATATATTTTTAAACTGCCTTACAACCATTTATCTCCTTTATAACTGTCTAAAAAATTACTTTATATGATGGACGCCAGTGTTTACAAGGGGGTTCAGGAGGAAAAGGTGCGCCTTCCTCTAATAAAGGATCACTTTTAGTCGAAATCGGAGGTAACTTATTTAGAATGAGATTAGCTGTTTCCTCTGCTCTTTTCATAGTTGACATCACCATGCTATCAAACTTCAAACCACTTGAAGCTAAACGCTCACCCACTCGTTTTGCTTGCTCTTTTCCTAAAAAGATAAACCCATTACCTAAATCGTATATATATAAGGAAAGAACAAGAATAAAACATTACCAATAACAATAAAACATAATTAGAAAAAAGTTTCGCAATTTCTAACTTTTTTAAAGGATAATACTAGCTACCAACATTACTACTTACACTAATTGCTAAGATATGAAGTAGAAAAATTATTTTATTTAGAAAAAAGGTAAATATTCAGCCAGTCACTGCCTAGTATCAACTCATACTTTGAATTTTTCACTACCTCAACATATGAATTATGAATAAAAGAACAAAAGACCATAATATTAGTAACAATTACCTAATGGTGTTAAACTAAGAAAATTCGGACTTCCTTTATCCGTAACATACTGTCCATGACGAATAAGGATGATATTTCGTTTTGCAATCGGTGTAGCTTCTTTTAACATATTCACACGACCAACAGAATCAGCTTCTTCATATGCTACTGGATCTACTACATGTATCGGTTCTCGACTATAAAGAACTAGATGAACTATAATTACTAAACGTGTTCTCTTTAAACATTAATCATCTTACTGAAGGCATACATTATAAATTTATGTAGCAAAATAAAATGCAAGCTAATTTTTGATTAACCAAAATTAGCCGACTGCTAATGTTAACTACAGTATAAAATTATGGAATTATATTTAAGTTCAGTGTAACAAAATATGTCTTTAACATAAAAATAGATTTCAATACTGAATTGAAAAAAATTACTTATCCCAGTTGTAATCCCATTCAGTTAGTGGAGATGGATGAATTGAAAAAAAGGATGAAGGCGAGCTGACATCGCTACATCGACCTTTTTCCAGGAAACGTTGACATCTCTCTACATTGTTCACTGATTTTAGGGAAAATTTATCCCACCATGAATAATATGCGCCACCTGCCATCACTGACAAAGCAAGAGCTGAAAATCGAGAGAACGACATTTCGTTGCCTTGTCTAGGTCTGAAAACCATTACCTTATCAATATTTTCCTTCAATAAGTTAGATGTAAATCATTTGCTACAGTATTCGGTGTTTTATAAGCACACATTTTTAGTTTAGAAGTGTTGAGACATTATGACAGACATAGTTTGAAATACTCACAATTACGCTACAAATAAACTTTCAGTTTAAACTTAATTTATAAAAAAATATAGTTCGAAATTGAAATCACTTTTCTATACAAATAAAGACAAACAACGAATGCAACAAGCAACTCAACTTCTCCAGATGTAACATAAATTTAATAAAAATACACGATAACATCGGGAAACTGACATACATTGTAATATATAAACGATTATAACTTGAATGTAAGTAAAGAATAGACACATAACGCTTGTATTAAAGTCTTTTGACCAGTTTCCCCGAAATAACTGATCCTTAGTAAACACGTCATATCATTCTTGTGGTGATACTACAACAGCGTAGTCAGCCAACGCTAAGCGAATGAGGCCTTTGCATGTGTGTTGATAAAAAGTAGTTAGTTTGCTCGCATGATATAATAATGTTTTTGTATGAAGTCAGTTATTCGGTATTGAGTATTAGGAATATGTATCTGAAAGTTGAAGCAGTGCTATGGATGCAGAGTAGAACTACTCACAAAGTATTGAAAAACAGAATACGTGATGAACTAATTAGATTTAATTAATAATAATTATGAGTAATCTAATGATTATGAGCTAATAATGCACAAACAAAACAGTTTTGATTTGAAATTGCTTATTGGAAAGTCTTTTTTCTAGGCTTAAATCTAATGCTGTCTCTTTTCTTCCAAACTGATATAGTTTTTACGTCTCAACTACACTTGACAAATTAAATTTGAATTTCCACGGGAGTTGTTCATTTATTTATCTTAAGAACTAATTGTATCGAAATTGGACGTAATTGTTGGGCTTATTTTGTCATGTTATGCTTATTTGTCTTGCTGCTATCAACATTATTCGATCAGAGTAAAGTTTGTGACGCGAGATTTAGTAGCTTAAACCTGACATTAATTCTGATATTTAAATTCACATATTTTGCTCTTTTTTTTTTAATTTTTGATTGCTAGACTATAATATAACTAGTAAATGTGACACTACTATAGTTTACAAAAAATTATGAGAAGCTAAAATTGTTATAGTTCACTCATAATCATTATTTTTATATTTTATCCGTTTATGTGTGATACATTTTAAAATAAGTCTTATCAAACTGTAGAATAATTTTTTTTCAGAATTTTTCAAAAACCATTGCAAAATTAATTCCAACAAATTAGAATAGTATAATTTAAGAGGTAAGCATAAGTCACGTTTGATTAAAATATCATCGAATTACTTGTGTCTCTTTTTTGCTTCTTTTACAAACTGTAATTTGCGACAAAAATTACTTATATTTAATAGCACGCATTTCTTTATTTATTGTGTCTGAAAAAACCGCAGTGAATGCCATCAATATTTTGCATTTCACGAAAAGATCCATAACAAAAGAAGACAAAAATTTTTTCTGCTCATTGAAACTAACTATTATACTTTCTTTTCGTAGTCTTTTTTTTATCTTACAAAATAGGAAAAGAAGATGAAACAAAATTTTATAGAACTACTATTATTTTGTGCTACTCTCTTTCTCTCAAAAAACCGTTATATTTTTTATTGTCCTCAAATGGATGACAATCTTTATACAATTTACGGCAAAAAGTTACAGTTTTTTTTTCTGTTCTTGCTATTATTGTTATGGTTAGTTGACGGAGACATAAAATATCCAATCAATTTGAAAAAAAAAAAGGTAATGTGTCCTTGTGGTACAAAAATAAAAATGCATCTCATTTACTTATGTCACAATATGTTTTTTGTTCGAACAAAACTCATTTAAAAAGCCAATCTTTATAAATAACATCGAATAACTTTTACAACTTTACTCAATAATATTTCATGATTTCGAGCAAAAGTTATTTATAATAATGTTTTGGCACTGCGAAAATTATCAATCTAATCACCTAATTAGGTACTTTGACTTTTTCGCAACTGCTTCGTCTCTAATTTTGGTCATCATCACATTCGTAATTCTGCGACAAACTTAACAACAAGCATATTATTTAACAATTGAATATAAAATACATTTATACTCTGTTCATTAATAACATCTGACATAAACTTTTTTTTTTAAAAATTCATAGAGTAACAGCAAAAGAAGTTTTTTCCTTTGATTTGTTGTAGCCTAATTTATTTAAATATTTGCAGGTATATGCAACTTAATTGTTAAAAAAATTTGCTTTATTGTGAAAGGTTATTAACCTAGAAATAATCATGACAAAGAAAGTACTAACTTGAACCATTTTACATTTTTGGATAGAATCCTCTAAATTTTATAATATAAAGTCTGTTTTAGGCGCTAATTTGAATCAGAAAATATATGCAACTGGTTATAAACAAATTAAGAATGCACAAATTTTAACTAATACATAAAAGCACAGCATTAAGAAGGAATATCAGTTCTGACAGCTATATTTCTATAAAAGTTGTTAGAGATCCTCTGCTCACACTGATCTTGATAACAAAGTTCACTGATAAACAGTTTTTATTTAAAGTTGATAGCGAATTTTAGCAAAGAAATTTCGCATATAATAGTGTTTGTAACTATTTTTATCACAACATATTTTGTTCAGAGCAATGAAAAATTTTTTGCTTTGAAGTAAATTATTGGAATTAATGCTGAAATAATATATTTTACAGTGTAAAAAGCCAATATGTAAAGTCGACTTTAAAATGTTTCCCCTCACCATCTATTTTAAATGTACTTCATGGTATTTGAGTTCATGGCAGAGTTGCAAGAAATGGAATGAAATATGAATGATTTGAAAAAATTTGCACCCCAAGTGATGATTAATGTGAGTTACAATTTTAATGTGTAAAAAATATTACCTCTACAGTATTTTCACACAATTTATAATGCAAGTGACATAAACAGGATGGAAACAGGTGGAAGAAATTCATATTTTTTGTTCTCATTTCTTATCAAAAATATGCTCAGTTTCGGATTCTTTTTTTATGTAATTTATTTTCAGAATACAAATTTAATATTTTTCTTCTTCCAAATTTCAAGATACAATTTAATTATTTCTGAAATAAAATTTTGTGAGCTTTAGTATTGCAATTCGGGATTAAAGAATTAGAAGAAATATTTGGGATATGGACAAATCGTAATAAAGATAAGATTGAAATGATTCTGGAGAATAAGCATGAACTACAAAACTGAGAGTTTTGTGATTTGTTCTAGGTTTCCGGAAATTGCAAATTCGAATACTAGTTGACATAAGAATAATTCAAAAGCAATTTTATACCTGCGAAAACGACGAATGTATGAATTTGATGGGAACTTGAAGAATATATTGTTGAAAATTATATTAATTTGAGCAAAACAGACATGAAGACGACTGTAATTTTCGGAGCACTTTAAAAGCGAGTTTTTTAACTGTTTTTTCGCACTTTGAATAATTTCAATACAGTATATCTGGAAACCAATCAAGTTTTCATGTTTGCTTAGTATCATTATCAATGTTTTTGTTTTGAAGTTATATACTTTAACTAGTTTTTGTATGCAGTAATTATTAATAATTTATTTTGATAAAGTGATTTATAGCTCTGAAAGTTGACGCTGGAAAGTTTTACTACAAAAGAAAATTTGTCCTAATTATGCACTTGTCAACTACTATTAATCAGCTAGTTTAAACATTACTCGAAATGATTTTTTAACGTTTAATTTTTCAATTCTTTATCCAAATGTGTTCTTGAGAATTTGAAATAATTTGGCATAAATGTATGGTTTGAGAAGCTTTTATAATTTTGATGAAAATATAACAACAAAGCTGGTAACAAGTAAAATACACGAACAATCTGTACTGAATGCAAATATCCTTTCAATGTCTGCAACAAGAAAATTTATTTGCACCACCAAATTATGAGTTTTTAAAATAATGAAATTAGTTCATTCCTGATTTTTATCTTGTTGCCTATTCCAAATGACATTTGATCACGAATATGTGCTTTGTGTTTCTGGCGAATTAAATTATTATTTTGTTTACCTGTAATTAAAGCACATATTTAATTTTTCTTCTGCATATTATCTACTAATTATTTTTCGTTCTATTGATGGAAGCCAAAGTTAAAATATTTCACCGTTGGCACAAATCTCTTCTATAACCCTTAACAATGATTTTGTTCTGAAAGTGATCAAATTTAGCAATATTAATTTGGTATATTAATGCGTTTTTGATCAACTTCATTAAAAAATTTTATTTTATTTCATCAATCATATTTCTATTTGATCTACAAACTTTTGAGATCAAAAAAATGAAGTGAAAAATGCAGATTAAATTGTCGAATGATGTATTTAGTGCATCACAGTTACTGCAACAAAATTGTGATTTAAGATATTATAATTATGAAGTTCAAAAAACTGTAATAAAAAGTTGTGAATACCAAAGTCAACCAATAAAAATAGTAACTGAATTTCTGAAACTTTTACTGCTGCAGAACCCAAACTTTCTTCGAATATAACATTTGTTCACTTTTATAAAAATAAGCTTATAAAGAACAAAAAGTGTTCACTTTCACTTTCATTCGAGAATAAATTCAAGAATCAAAATTAAATAATAAATAATCACGTCAAAAAACCTGGCTAAGAAGTTCAGAAGGAGAACAGATTATTCCTCGCATAAGTAAATCGGACCACCTCTTGACCATTTCAAGAAAATAAATGAACTTGAGGAAGAAATAAAACCAAGTTCAATAAACCAAACTAAAGTCAGTTCAAATTTGCTACCGACTTTAATGCCTTTTGCAACACATGTAATTTACTACTAATTATGTAGCACTTTTTTCCAAGACGCTTCATATTTTGTATAGTCGGGAAATTTACCATTGTCTTATCTATTATTTTATTAAAGTTTCCCTTTTCCCATTCA